TCAAAATACTTTTAATTACATTATTACAATAAAATACTTTTAATACATTAAAATATTTTTAACTGAACATTTCAACAGGTAGTACGAGCTCATTTAAGAACTCCCACCGTGAGAGAATTGGAAAAAATATTTCAGAGATTTCAGAGGGGCAATCTTGGTAGGAAAGACGGAAGCAAAGAAGGCATTCAGTACCTCTGCCTTCTCTTTGTCCCCTGTTACCAAGGCATTCAGTGGCAGACCCGCATGTGTTCCAGTCTTAGTTTTACTACCAACATTCTCACAAAAGCCCTTGTTGTTCTCCTCGACCGCCTTTCCTGGATTTAATCCCAAGGGTGCCTTAGCCTTCCTCATTGCATCCTTGCAGGCCCTGACAACGCTCATACATTCTTTCCAGGTAGAAATGCCCTTCTTCCACGTGCTGTGTACACTCCTCTTCCCTTTGAGTTCATCCATGAGCCCCTTGCTTATCCAGCAGTTCTCCTGCCACTTTTCCCTGCTTTCTTGCTCTCAGGGGTGCATCCATCTTGAGCTTGGAGGAAGCGGTGTTTAAGTGTCAAGCAGCTCTCTCGGGTCTACTTGCCAAAGCTCCCGTCCATGGGATACCTCCAAGCAGGCCCACTGAGGAGGTCCTGCTCTCCCAAAGTCTGGGGTGACAGTCCTACTGTGGAGTCGGCGATGCATTTTATGCCATAGGATGGGCCCTTCCAATTGGCTCAGGAGCAGTTTCCAGATGGCGTGGAGTGTGCCTGGTGCCATGTACCGTGTGCATGCCATACCAGTCATGCTTCTCCCATTGCGTGGTGGTTGTGTGGGGGGCTGGGGATCGAACCGAGACCGCCTTAAGCAAGACAACAAACTCCAGACTTCTCCATTGTGCTCACGCACAACATGTTTGTTCTGCACCTTTCGCAGGAGCATGGCAGCACAGTTTTTGTTCTGAGGCATTCACGAGTTTGTTATCATTTTGTTTTGCACAGTTTGCACTGAAATTTCTGCGCAACTGGACTGTGTGCTGTATGTGCAACTGTATCTGATTTCCTCTTAGAGTGACTTCTACTTTAAAAATCATTAGGAAATTTCACCTTTTGAGAAAGACTTTTTGGGTGATGGCTTCTAGAATTGTCCCAGGACTTGATGGTACACCAAGTAGTTGATAATTTCCAGGCTCATCCTAACCCTTCTCTTCCCCTGATGAATTAGAGGTTCGGTGTCTTTCTGGTCAGCTGGCATGAACCCCACTGCACATCCACTCTTGAAGAAGGGAGTGAAACAATCTCAACACTTCTGTCAGTTTGAAGACCTGGGGATGCTGTTCCTCTCCACATTCTGTTCTTTGTGCAAACATCACCCGAGCTCTTCTTTCACCCTTCTCCATCTCCAGCCCCTTGCTGCTTTTCAACACTTTTCACTGGGCTTGGGCACCATTGCGCTTCAGGTGAGCTTGTGGCGGAGCCCATCAGTGAAATGATTTGGAAAAACAATCAAGCACGTCCCAGTCTGCATGAGCTTCATGAGGCATTTATGGACTGTGGACATTTATAAAGGTGAAACCTATGTGAATACGCAGCTGGTGAAAAGAAGTTCCATTACGATTGGTGAAGGATCAGACGCTCTGTATGCATGTATACGCACATATTTATGTCTCACTCTCAATACTCTGTAGGCGTGTGAAGGAAGCAACGTGTTTCTTTGTGGCTCAGACTGTGACAACGCCATACAGAACTGTAACACTGTGAATTCTCGTCCTCTTTCTGTCTGGTTCACAGGTGGACCTGTGGCTAACCGGAGACAGGAGACATGGCTGTGACAGCCTTGTGAAGGCATCAGAGCAAACACTGTACTGTCACACGCTTGTGAAAGGTGCACAACAAACACAGGTTGTACCAAGTACAGCGGAGAAGCCAGGAGTCAGTCGCCCGGCTGAAGGCGGTCTCGGGTCCCCCCCACAACCACGGCCCTCCACAACCACCGTGCACACGGAGCAGCGTGGGGTTACGGCACACGCACGGTGTGCGGCACCGCGCAGCAGCTCCTGGCCCGACCGGAGCCAAAGAAGGGCAGATTCGGGCCGTGGCACAGAACCGCTCCCAGTCCACATCCGGCAGAACAACCCCCTTCTCCAGCTACGGGCTCGGCTCCGTGCCAGGGATGTGGCCACGCTTTTCTCCATCCTTCTGCCTTCCGGGCATCGTCACCTTTGGTCGAACCTCTTGTGCGCTCAGCAATGACAAATGCCAACCACTTTGGCAGAGCTCAGAGCTAGCCGAGCCTGAATGCAGTTGGAATGGACGCATTTACCCGAGCAGAGCCAAGCCCCAGGCTCGCACCGCTCCCATCGCCGGTACCCACGCCCCGCGCCGCTCTTTTCTCGGTCTCTGCTGCCACCGCTTGACCGGAGCGCAGAATTGCAGTCGGGACCGCAGCGGCGGCGGTTTTAGGGGCAGCGGAGGGTCAGACGAGCTCTGGGAGCGCTCTGGGCGCTCTGGGCCCCCCGGGGCCCGCACGGTCCCGCAGAGCACCACAGAGCCGTCCCGGAGCGGCACGACGCGTCGCTCTGCTCTCTCCGCTCCGTACCGCCCGTCCCTGCGGTAATACGAAGCAATCCTCCAGAAACTAACGCCTCCGGAAACCCGGAAGTGGTGCCTCTTTGCTCTGACTGCTCTGTGCCTCCAGCCCTCCAACTCTATGGTAGCGGGTCCTCCTGCTCGTGCTGCGCATGTGCCGAGAAGAGCGGAAGCGGCGGCTCGTTGGTGTAAGGGCGCTGCGCTGGCGGCCCGGCGGGCAGGTGGTGCTTGGAGCTGGCGGCGGTGCTGGGCGTGCGGCGTGCAGTCGGTCAGCGAGGTCATAATAAATAGTAAATCAAGGAAGAAAAACATCGAGTTATCTGTCTATCTACATCTCATCTCATTTTCTGCTCCAAAACTGACCAAAGTGTCAGTGTGGTTTCCAGCTCCAAGAGGGAAATGGCTGCAAGCTCCAAGAGGGGAGATTTAGGTTCGCTATAGGGACGAAATCTTCTGCAGAGAGGTGGTGAGGCACTGGCACAGGTCGCACAGAGGTGCGCTGGGTGCTCTGTCCCTGGAGACCTGACCCAGCTGCGGTGTCCCTGTGCGCTGCAGGGGGGTTGGTGCGGATGGCCCTCAGAGGACCCTTCCAACCCTGAGGAGTTTGTGGGTCTCTGTCCCAGGATCAGAGTTGATGGATGGTGGAGGAGAAGGCATTTCTGCAGCTTTTAATCCGTAGCACTGGAAACACAAATCAGGATGTTTGAATATTTTTTTCCAAACCTCTCACGATGTGAGTCCTGAAGTGAGCTCATCCTGCAGGGTGAAAAGTTCAGTTCAAAGTATTTTAATGTTGCTATGCTCTTTTCTTTTTTTTTTTTTTTTTCTTTTTCTGCCCCAGTATGATGCTCTACTTCTGTCAGTGGAAACTGTCCAGATGATGCTCTGTGCCCCAGCAGGTGCTCTACTCCTGCAGGATTACAAACGGAAAAGGGGCACCTGGGGCTGTGCTCCAGACTGGGCTGCGTGCTTGAAACTCCACCCCAAAAAAAGCTGATTGCCTCCATGAATCTTCATGCTTTCTATCTCACAAGGTGTCTTTGGGTAATTTGTGTGAGCCGTTGTAAAAGCTAGGTTTGCTCTTTCTTGGTGAATGCTGAATCCTAAAGTAGCATTTTGCAAGAGAGTTGTGCACCGTATTGCTTTACTTTGTGTGTTGGAGCTCTCTCTGGGACCCAGAGCAGGTGTACCCAATGCGCAGCTCCGCACAGCCAGCAGTGCAGCCCAGCCCCGGCCCCACGCAGTGCTCTGAACAGCAAAGAATGTGCAGCCATGATTTCTCTTTTGATAAAGGAATTTGGAAATCGGTTTCAATTTTGCCAAAAAATCATCCCTTTATGTGGGTGACCCCGTTTTAAGTTGATACAAATGCATTACCTGCCAGTTTTCAAATGGAATGCCTAGAGTTCCAACCAGATATTTGACTCCAAAATCTAACCATGTCTCCTGACTGGACTTCTGTCAGACATCTTTTAACAGACAGAAATATCCCTTGCTTTGCAGTCAAGCCTTATTCGTCGCGTTTTGGCAGTCAGCACGCTTGTGAACAATTGCGAAGAATGAAGCATGGCAAGAGTAAAGTTTCATCAGAAATCTGACAAACGCATTAAGACCTCACAAAAAATTGCAACCATTGACATCAAACGAGGCATTGATGCACTACCTTCACAAAAAAAGAAGTCAGATATCCCACCAGTTTTACGCTTTGTTTCTCTCCTTTTTTTTCCCCCCAACGCTTTAAAAAATACTACAAATGGAAATGGATTGCTGCTAATGAATGAACGATACAGAACAGTGACAACCCCAAGCCATGAAACACCCTCAGAATTGGGCTGCCCTGCCAGCAGAGGCTTGATCCATCCTGACTTGAGACCTCGTGCCTCAGTGGGGCTGGGCCAGAAGCCAGCTGGGCCTGAAGGCTGCTGTGCCTCATCTGTGGGGCATGGGCTTCTCCAGCACATCGTCCTGTTACATCCATCCCATGCCCCTCTGTGTATCTGCTGACACCTGCCTGCTGTGGGGCTGCCCATGGTGGCTGTACAGCAGGCCGGCCAGTGCAGCTGCTGACAGCTCCACCGTGCTCTGCAGCTCACAGTGCTCGTAGCCCGCCTTGGGCTGGATCTTCCTGAGGTCCCTCGTGGATTTTGAGAAGATATACATCCCCAGATGCCTGAGGGCGCGCCATAGGAGATTGGACACCATGTAGTCCATACTGCCTCCTGATGCCGTAGTTCACCGAAACACTGCTGCAGGTGGTGCTTGCAGCTGTGAGATGTTCAGAATGTAATTCTTAACAGCAAGAGTTTTTCAGGACTCCCCTCACCTGACTCCATGGGGCCGAGAATCTTCTCATGGTTCCTTCAGAATGTGGGCTGACTACAGTGTTATATTAGAGCTTTATTATTACATATAGTCTTAGGAACAGAGTCAAGAATATGCAGCAGTAGTTGTTTAATCATCAATATGGAATCAATTACTTGCCTCTTTCATTCCTCTTGGTTATCCTAGATGTTTCTGTCACAGCCACTCACACACAGCTGTGCACACCCTCAAGGACTTACAGGGCTTTTGGATTGATATCTGCCACTGCTCATCCCACTTGACGATGTTTGGCAGGACGAAGACAGACTCCAGCATTCTGGTTACAAGTTTCAGAATTACATAAACATTTTAGCAAGTAGAATTGCTTATCATTGCCTACTTTTCTAGTACTTAGCGTCGCTAACTGCTCCACAGAACATCTAGCAATTAGTGTAGCTTTCTTATTATCTAGAATCCTTACTTCACCCCATTTTTCAGTCACTGGGACCCTTAGCAGATCCACTGTTAATCAGTATGAAATGCAGGAATTGTAACATAGAGTCAGACTCTACCTAGAAGATCACAAGTTGGAGGATGCAGTGGAAGAAGGAGTTGCTGGCCACCAAGAAACCATGGGCTTTGCATCAGCTCTGATCTGATCCCCACTTAGAGCATGCCTAAGATGTTACCTGGATGTTGCAGCCAATACTTCAGTTTTGATTTCACTTTCAAATTGCACACTGAAAGATTGCATACCTCTGGTGAGCCAACACCCGAATGGTGATAATGCTGATGGGAAGAATCCCGCTGGCCACAGAAAAGTGGCTGAAATGGATGTCCTCAAATCTGGGTGATGTAATGGAGGAGAAGTGGGGTTACATGTGAGTGGCTGCTTCCATGTACAGCTATATGCTCTGGCATGGAATCAGAGAATGAGAGAACCACCAGGGCATCATCAAACCATCAAAATGCAGAAGCATAGAGTCAAAGAATCAGAGAATCCAGAATCATGCAATCAGCTAATTATATGCTCTAGAATCATAATAATTGAATAAAAGAAGCTCAGAAACAGAGAATTCTCAGAATCAGAGAATTTAGAATCAGAATTATCATAGAATCATTGAATAGCAGAAGCATAGAATCAGTGAATCAGAGAATCATTGTAGAATCATCAAGTCATGGAATCATAGAACGGCTGAGATTGGAAGAGGCCTGACAGATCATCCAGTCCCAGTTTTCTGCCCTGGACAGGGGCACCTCCCATCAGATCAGGCCATCCAGGGCCTCATCCAGCCTGGCCCTGAATGCTTCCACAGATGGGGAGACCTGCGCTGAGGTTCACACATGCAACTCTATGAGGTCAGGCTCCCTGGAATTCCTTTTTGCTTGTGTATTTTATATGAACACTTTTTTTTCCTGAGTCATGGAAAAGGAGGTTTTGTGAAGGGCACAGCAGCGTTGGATTTCTTTTGGAAAGGTCTTAAAAATATTTAAAAAGTATTAAAAATATTAAAATCCATCTTCTGAAGAAAACCTCTCAGCACTTGTACCTGGCAGCAGTGCTTTGGTTTTCTACATAACCCATTCCATAAGGAGCGCTGGGTGATGCTGTTCAACACCATCGGTTATGAGCTTGCTCCATGCCAAATTTCCCTCTGTGGGACTGAGAAAACAAAATAATGCTTGTGCCCACCAACTCCTGTTAGTCTGATTGGTTTCTGCCCAGGACAAAACTATGAGGACTGCAAAGATATCAGAGGGAAAATTAGAAGGGCAAAGTGCAGCTGGAGTTCCATCTGGCTACCGCTGTTGAAGGCACTTAAAAAATGCTGCTCTAAGTGCAGTAGAAGCTAAGGGAGGATAAAGGAGAATCCCCAGCCTTCATGGGATGGAGGGGTGGAAACACAGGCTGAAGTCCTTAATGCCTTGTGGGCCTATGTCAGATTCTGTGAGGATTCGGTGAGTTTTATGGGAGAGTAGTTTATGGGGTTAATTAAATTAATTAAATTAATTAATTGTTTCTACGTTCTATGATGGTTCTATTATTCCAGACTGGTATTTTATGATGAGCCGATGCTTCTATGACTGTATGTTCTAGATTCAATGAGTGCAGATTTCATAATATCTCCATGATGATTCAATACTTCTAGATTGTCTGGCTCTGTGTAGATTCCCTGATGATAGGTTCTCTGATCCCATGGTGATTCTGGGCTTCCATGGTTTGATGGTTCTGATTTATCACAGAGAGGATGGATTCCCAGATTTGTATCTGTAAAGCAAGGTATTTTCCAACCCACACCCATGCTTAACATGTGGAATCGTTCCAAGCGGCCGACATGTCCCAAGCAGAATCTATTTCAGAAGGCTGTTTATAAAAGAAACAACCGCAGAAGGCAACAATCCCAAGAAAAACAAACGGGCAGAAATTCAGGTTTAAGCCCCGGCACTTCCTAAAGCAAAATATCACCCAAAACCATGAAGCTAACAGGCAAAAGAGGGTTGTTTTTTTTTTTGCTTCGTTTCCCCAAAATGCTTGGCTACAATTTTTGCTGAAATTTTACAACATTACCTTTGGATTTTTCCAATTCTTGGTGCACACTGAGATGAAAGAGCAGAGTAAAAGGACTGTTGCTTTTATGCATGTGTGCCTGTGTGTGTCTTTATACACACATGCAAATCTCTTTTACTGTAGATTATAATTACTATTCTTTATCATATGTAACTGATGTATAGTGCTGTGTAGCTTATAAACAGGAATTTGTACAGCTGAGATTGGCACAGGGTGTGTGATCCTAATGTCATCACCAGACAAATTCTGGTAGATTTTCCTTCCTGTTTTATAACAAAGCCCTACTCCTCCCTCTTTGCAAATGACACCAGTTTGGAGCAGAAGCACCAAGCCTGGGCTTATGACTGGAATCTTGCTCACAGGTTTAGTTTTCAATTGTATTGCTTATTATTTCCTTATGTTACCACACTTTACTCAGGAATCTTCATTCCTTTCTCACACCCTTATTTTTCTTCCACTATATATTCACAGGTCTAGTTTTCTAACTATGTCTCCAGTACTGCAATTTTATCAGAAATTCTGCTGTTCCTAGTAACACTACTATCTTCTTCCCTAAACATATTCATTCTCTAGTTTGTTCTAACCATATTTTTAATGTTTTTCATTAAATTACTGTGATTTGCTCAGAAATGTTCCTATTCCCTGCTCACAGCCTTATTTTCCTTCCGGAACACATTCACTGGTTACTTCATTTTTAACCATGTCCTCAGTATTTTGCCATAACTGTTTGCAATTTGCTTTTTCTCATTTCTGCTTGAAAATACATCGAAAATATCAATAAAACTTGAGTTAACACATTTACCCTGAGGTAGGGAAAGGGGCTCCCAGTCTCCATCCCTCAGCCCCACAGCCTCTAGGGCCCCACTTGCTGTGACCTCACTGTTCCCAGGGCAAAGCCTTTGACACTGTCTCCCACAATATTCTCCTGGAGAAGTTGTCAGCCCATGGCTTGGGCAGATACACTCTTTGCTGGGTGAAGAACTGGATGGATGGCCAGGCCCAGAGAGTAGTGGTGAATGGAGTTACACCCAGCTGGTGAATGGTCATGAGTGGTGTTGAACAGGGGTTGGTAATGGGGCCTGTCCTGTTCGGTATCTTTTTAGATGACCTGGACGAGGGGATCGAACGCACTTACTTAAGTCTGCAGATGACACCAAGCTGGTAGGAACTGTCAATCTGTCTGGGGGTAGGATATTAGCAAAGATTTCTTCTACAAGTGCGGTCATGTGCTGAAACGGGCTGCCCAGGGAGGTGGCTGAGTCACTGTCCCTGGAGGCTTTCAAGAAACATACATATTTGGCACTAAGGGACATGGCCTCCAGCCCATGGAGACCTTATTGCATTGGAGACCTCATAAGCCCAAGGAAATCCAACACCGTGGAGATCCCCCTACCTTGAAGACACCAATCTATTGATAACCCAATCCATTGAAACAACATAGCCTGTAGACACCTCCACCCCAGGCTTGGTGCTTCTGCTCCAAACTGGTGTCATTTGCAAAGAGAGAGGAGTAGGGCTTTGTTATAAAAAAGGGAGGAAAATCAACCAGAATTTGTCTGGTTGGCGGTAGATGGATGGTTGGACTGGTTGATCTTGGAGGTCTTTTCCAACTTTGGTGATACTACTTCAGACACTTTGACATCTCCACCCCAGTTTCACCATCATTATGACATCACTACTGCTATCACTCTGCTTTATTTTGGAAAAAAAAATAAAAATAAAGGAAGCTTTGAGTGCTCAGCATCCTGGGATTTCTGCCTTCTGTTAGTGCTGAGCCCTACGAGGCTGAGGGCTCCGGAGGAACCGCGAGCCCCAGCAGCCCTCGGGCGGTGCTGAAGAGGTTCAGGGGGGCAGCTCCATCGGTGATGAGGGCAGACTGCAGTCCGAGGCCCTGCAGCAGCTTCACCTGGAAAGCACAGTGCAGGCGCTGCCCCATCGTGGCACAGAGACCTGGTGGCCCCACCAGCCTTGGGGGCCCTAACCTGGAGACCTCATACTCCATGAAGAACCCACAACACTGGCCACCTCCAGCCCATGGAGACCTCGTCCCATTGGAGACCTCATAACTCAAGGAAATTCAGTGCCATGGAGATCCCCCTACCTTGAAGACACCAATCTACTGATAACCCAATCCACGGAAACAACATGGAGACACCTCCACCTCATGGAGACACTGCTCCACTAAAAGCCTGTACCCTATGAAGATCCTGTAACTCCATAGAGACTTCGTAACCCATGGAGGCTCAACTCAATGGACACCCCCTATGTTTTGCCACCCTCTACCCCACAGAGGCCCCCAAAACCACATGGAGCTCATGGAGACCCAATACAATGAAGATCCTGCCCCACTGACACCATGTATCCAATCGAAACCCTGTAACCGAACAGAGTTCCCACCCTATGGAGCCCCAAGCCACAGGCACCCTACAGCCCATCAAGACTGCCGTGCTTTTGAAACCCCATGGCCACCCAAAGCTGACACTTAAGCCCACCCCCAGCCCCACATACCTGCAGCTCAGGCCCAGCACGGGCGATGTCCCGGATGGTCTCAGGCCCCAGGGCTGCTGCCACCTCCCGCACCTTTGAGGACTCCACGGCCGCCAGCGCCTGTGCCCGCGCCGCCTCCGCCTCCGCCCGCGCCCGCTGCGCCCGCACCTCCTGGGCCTGCATCTGCTCCAGCCGCGCCAGCTCTGCCTCCTGGGCACGGGGAGGAGGTAAGGTCTCACCCCACCTTATGAGATACTGCCACAGCCCTGCTCGTACCGCACCGTCTCTATGGCGACAGCCTCTGCCTTCAGCTTGGCCTGCAAGATGGCGGCCTCGGCCTCAATGCGTGCAGCCTCTGCCCTGGCCTGGGCCTCCGCCCGCGCTGCGCCTGCGCTCTCCACTGCAGCGCTGCAAGGAGTGCTGTCACAAGCCAAGCCTGCCGGGGCCACATCCCCTCCTCCCACCCGGTAGCCTACAAGCAAGGAGACTGCCCTACTTCTGTAGGCCGATGGGTCCCAGCACTCCCAGAGCCCCAGCACTCGCTCCAGCTGGGGCACATGGGGACACTGGAACAGGTGGAGCCTCGGGCAAATGGAGGTCCCGGGCAGCCTTCCCAAGTTGGCAGGTGAGCGTGATGCATGCTGGGAAGGGGGAGAACCAAGATGGCTGACCTGAGGGCCTCCAGCTCCAGCAGCTCCCTGCGTGCCCGCTCTGCCTCCGCCTGGTCCAACAGCCGCTGGCGCTCCAGGCGGCCCCGGGCCTCCTGTGCCAGGCGCTCAGCTTCATGCCTGTGGGATGAAGGGACACTGTGGGCATGTGGGACACTGGGGGGACACTGGGGGCCAACTGGGGACACTGGGAGGTGGGACAGTGGGGATGCAGACGGGACAGTGGGAGGACAGTTGGAGACACGTTGAGGTCACTGGAGCACAGGACACTGGGGATGCTGTGGGAACTCTGGGGTTCTGAGGATACTGAGGACACACAGGTGACATTGGGGATGGGACATCCTGGACACATTAGAGACACTGGGAACACACTGGGGACACTGGGAACGCTTTGGGGATACTGGGACACAGAAGGATGCAGGTGATGCTGAAGATATGTGGGACATTAGGATGGAGGGTATGTGGAATGAAGTTTGGGGGCACGGAGGATATGGAAGACATTTGGAAACATGGGAGATAAAGAGGACATTTGGGGACATAGGATTGAGGACATTTGGTGGCATGGGACACATAGAAGATGCTTGGGGATGTGGGACAAGGACATCTGTGGACAAGAGGGATAGAGAGGATATTTGGGGACACTTGGGAATATAGAGAACACTTGAGCAAATGGGAGATGTAGAGGAAATTTGGGGATGTATGGGATATAGAGGACATTTGGGGACACAGGGGACATAGAGGACACCTGGGGATAAAGAGGTCATATGGGGACAGGAAGTGGAAAAGGAGAGGTGGGAATATGGCAACACATGGCATACAGAGAGGCAAAAGAAGACATATGGCAACAAGAACACAAGGGGGGCAACCCAAGGTGACACAGGGAACTGGGGACCTGGCGGCAGCCTCCTGGGAGTTGGTGGCAATCTCGATGGCCAGCTGGACGCTGCGCTGCAGTGCGTCGCGTGTGCGTTGGTCCACAGGTTCCACACTCTGGATGTCGACGCTCGTCACCACCAGCCCATTGGGGACAAAGCGCAGGTGCTCCCGCAGTCGTCCACCCTCGTCAAAGCCAAAGACAGCTGAGCAGATGAGGCGATTGGAATTCTGGGGACAGCAGGGACAGCAGTGTCACTGCAGGACAAGGACAAGGGCAGGGGACCAGGGGGGCATCAGGGCCATTTAGGGGTGTGAGGGACATAGAGGGTATTTGGTGACAGGAGAGATCTGGGAAATGGGATATAGAAGATACTTGGGGATATGGAGATATAAGGGCATCTGTGGACATCTGGGGACAGTATCATAGTGTAGGCTGTTGGGGCAGTGAGCACAATGGGGACATGGGGTGACACTGAGGAACCTGCAAGGATTTATCAAAGCCAAGCAGGGATGTTGAGAATTCTGTTGATGTCCCCAGAGGCTCTTGGAGACAGCAGAGACTCAGGGACATGGGGAACCTCATTCTGGTGACATCTGAGCAAGCCAAGATCACATAAACAAAATGTGGGGACGTAGGGGGAGGTGACACAGGAAGACGCAAGGCAATGACTTAGGGTGACGTGGCTGGGGGAAGCATGGGTGATAAGTGGGGGAACCAAGGGGTGGCAAGGGGTGGACCTTGTGGAAGTCATCAAATGTGACAGCAGCGACAGCTCCACGCACACGGGAGGCCAGGGCCTTGCAGGCATCCCCCACAAAGTCAGGAACACTGAAGAGACGCCCCAGAGCCTTTGAATCCTCAGGCACCTCAAAGTGCCTGTGGGGAAATGTCCTCATGTCACCACCCCATACCACAATCCTGGTCCTAACCCTGATTCTCAAAGCTACCTCTGTCCCCAGGCCACCAACCCATGGGCTTTGGCTGTCCTACAGTGAAATTCCACCCAAGACCACCCATACTGCACCCAAGAACAAATCAAACTTAAGACCACTCTAACTCCACCTCAAACCCAAGACCTTCCCAAGCCCCACCCCAAGACCAACCCAAACCTCAACCAAGACCACCCCAAATTCAAGACCACCCCAAACTCCACCCAAGATCAATCACAAACTCCACCCAATCCTAACCCATAGCTCACCTGAGACCACCCCAAACTCAAGGCCAACCCAAACGCCACCCAAAACCAACCCAAATCCCACACCAAGACCACCTCAAGACCCAGGACCAAACCAAACCCCACCCAAGACCACCTCAACCTTACCCAAAGACTACCCCATACACAAGATCACTCCATACTCAAGACCACCCAATCCTAAGACCACCCCAACTCCCACCTAAGACCCCTCAGCCCCCAGCCCCACCAGTTGTAGGCCAGCTGCAGCTGCAGCCGTGCATGGTCAGCTGTCTCAATGGTGACAATGTCAGCACAGAAGTCAGGGCCGAGGCGCAGGCAGAGGCTGCGGCGCGCGTGGGGCCTTTTGGGGCGGCCTCCAGATAGGGACAGCACTGTCAGCTGCTCACCAGGGCCCAGCACCACCAGCTCGGGGCCCAGTACCACTCTGCAATGGGGTGGAGAAAGAGCATCGTAAGGTAAAATGAGGCCCAGGGGTCCTTCAAGCTGAGGACCCTGCAAACCCCAGAATCCTACAAACCCTAGAATCCTATGAAACTTACAATCTTACAAAGCCTAGAAACCATAGAGTCCCACAATACCTATAATAACCTGAGTAAGCATCGTGAGTAAGTACCCATAAGCATCACTGTGCTCCTTACTCTCACCCCAAAACCCTACAGTCACATTGGAGATTCTGCAGCACAGGAAGGTCATCAGGAGGTAGTAGAGGGCTGGACAATCCTCGGCAGCCCCAGAGTTCAACAACTCTACAGCACTCTACAGTCATATAACTCTAGAACCCCAGAACCCTAGAATCCTAGAACTCTAGAGTCCTATAAACACAGAACCCTAGGATGCTTAGAATACAAGAATCTTATGAACACCCTAGAACTCTATAAACATGGAATGCTAGAATCCTGGAATCATGGAATTTAGAATCTTAAAAAACTAGAATGCTAGAATCCCTGAATTGTTGAAACTGAGAGTCCTAAAAACCTACAGTCCTTGAATCCTAGAGTCCTGCAGTCCCAGAAACCCAGCAACCTAGGAAATGCAGAACCCTAGAATCCCAGAAACATAAAAACCTAGAACCCTACAAACCCAGAATATCCTGAGTTTGATTGGATCCAATAGGTTGGCTTTTAGGAAAAAACAAAGCCAGGGATCCCAGCAAAATTCCCCAAACTCAGTGCCTGCCCCACATCCCATTGTCCCCATGCCTCTCATCTGAAGGCACTTACCGTGCTCGCCGCTCCCGGTAGTCATAGACCTGCACAGCAGCATTATGGGGCACCTGATATGTGACAGCACGGGTCCGGTCCCGTTCCTGGACCCCAAAACTGGGGCCTGAGGATGACTGGATGCCCAAATCTTGACCAGCTGTGTCCCCACGAGCCTCAGCCAACAGAGTCTCAACCCCTTGGGGCAGCTCCTTCTCCCACAGCTCCTCGGCCTCTGTCAGCATGTAGGTCTGCCCCGTCACCACCCGCACCTGTATGGAAACCAGTGTGGGGCTAGGGTGTCACCAGGAATACTAGGAGGACTGGAAGGGGTGGCTGAAAGGATTCGTGGGGTATGTGGAACTCTTGGATGGGGCTTAGGGGCACTGGAAGAGGATTTCAGGCCTACTGGGAGTACTGCATGTAGAGGCACAGAAAGGGCTATTGAGAGCAGCTATATGGGATACTGGGAGCTCTAGGATGAGCTGTGGGAAGTGTCTAGGGGCACTGGGATGGGATTTGGGGAGTGCTAAGAACACTTGGAAGGGGCTTGGGGAAACTGAGAGGGAATTATGTGTGCTGGGGGACACTGGGAGAGACTGGAAAGGTGTGTGGGGGCACTAGGGAGGGGGACTGTGGGGGCACTGGGAAGGGATTGTTGAGGGACTGAGAGAGGAAAGGGGTTACTAGGAGCCCTTGGAGGGGTATCCAAAGGGATGTGGGGGGCTCTTGGAGATCCTAGATGGGCTCTGTAGGTACTGGAAGCAGCTATATGGGATACTGGAAGCACTGGGATGAGCTGAGGAAGGTTTCTAGAGACACTGGAAAGCAGTGTGAGGGACACTGGGGTAGGTTTAGGGGCACTGAGCACCCATGGGGTCTGTAGGAACAGGACTCTCACCTTGCCGGTGCGGATGTCCCGCACATAAATGCCCTCGTTCTCAGCCAGGGCCAGCGCACGGCGTCGCTCCAGCACAGTCACCTCAGCTGGTGGCACGTACTCGAGAGGACCCCGGGCCAACCAGCGGTCCCCTGCACGCCGTATCACCTCCGTCCCATCCTGAGGATGCAGCGGTGGCATCAGCACCAACCTGGGGACATGGGACGTGGGGACCCTGCCCAATCGCTGGCTGGGGATGTGGGACCTCCAGAATCTCCCAGGTGTCCCTGTCCCCAGGTATCATCATGTATCCCAGGTGCCCCCTATGCACCTCACCTGTTCCCATGTACCCCAGGCGTCCCCCATGAACCTCACCTGTCCCCACCTGCCTCCAATGCACCTTACCAATTCCAGTGTTCCCACGAGTCTCCTTTGCTCCCCCCCCAGTTCCCCCAGTTGTTCCCTCTGTCCCCCATTCGCCCACCACCTCCAGTCTCCACCACGTGATGCTATGAGCTTCAGTGTCACCTCGTCAGTGTCCTTGATTGTCTGCAGAGCCTGAAGAAGTAGCCCCTCATCCTCAGAGAGCACATAGACATCCTCGATGCCAGCCTGGAGCCGCTCACCCGGCTGCAGGAAGAAGGATTTCTCCCCCTGGGGACACAGGAACATCACCTCAGGGATTTTATGTGCTCTCAGGAGTAAATTAGGGTCCCTGGTGGCCACTGGCCACCTCTGAGATATCTTGGGGATACCTATGGGTACATCAGAGCCACCTGCAGGTCCCTGAGGTCCATCTACATGGTCCTCTGGGGTACCCAACTTGTCCTCAAGGACCTGCAGGTGACATCTCTGTGGTCCCATGAGGTGTGCACCTTGATCACACGCTTCTGTCCCAGCTGGGGCTGCCCGTTGGGTCCCACAGGGTCGAGCACCACGCAGTACTGTCGAGGACCCAAAGTTGTCACCAGCACCTCAGCCACCACCTCCTCGAAGACATCAGGGACGTAGGCCTCACTCTGCTCCTGTGTCACCAGCCACTCCTCTCCTGTGCGGCGCACATGTCCCTGCGCATCCTCAAAGGTCCGGGTAGCTCGCAGGTGGAGGGCTTTCTGTGGGACAATGAGATCAAAGCGCATGATGGGACCCCGATTCTGTCCCAGAGGGTCTTTATCACCTGCATGTGCTAGGAGACAGAGTGATGGGACACCTAAACTTGACCCAGATTTGGGTTCAGGGCAAAAAAATCCTGGAGTGTCCCTGTCACCCATGGGTGTAGGGGAGACCACAGGGGATCCCATGTCCCTGTACCTTGTCAGTGAGGACATAGGCATCCACGACATCGACCACCTCCTCGTAGACCCCTGGCAGGTAGGCACCCACCCGCTTCACCAGCCACTCCTCACCTGGAAACAGTATTATGGGGTGATCAAGGAGTTAAGAGGGCTGGTGCAGACTGGGGGAGACAGGGAGGGTTGGGGAGATTTGGGTTGGGAAGGGGTCTGAAGGGTGCTGGGGGTCCTGTGGGACAAACCTAGGGGCGTCTGGAGTCCTAAGGGTGGGACTGGAAGATCTCAGACGTCATTAGGGTGGGATGAGACAACCCCAAATGTGGGAAGGGACAAAACTAAGGGTCGTTAGGGTGGGATGGGATGACCTCAACGGTGTCTGGAATCACGAGGGTGGGATGGGACTATCCCAAGGGTCATTTGGGTGAGAAGGGACAATCCTACTGGTCATCAGAGTGAGATGGGATGATCCCAAGGGCCATTGGGGGGGGAAAGACAATCCCAAGGGTACTACCTGTGACACGCCGCGTGCCCTGACAGTCGAGGCACTCCTTGCGTGCCCTCAGGCGGATGGCCTGGTTGTGCCTGATGACGGTGGCCTGCAATGTCTCAACCACCTCTACCTCCTTGTGGGGGATGTAGGTGCCTGTGGAGCGGGGCACCATTAGCAACCCAAGATGTCCCCAAGGTGTCCTTAAAGTGTGCCCTTTGCTTACCAGGACCCTCGAAGAGCCACTCATCGCCTGCCACAAACTTGTTCCCATCCTCATCCTCAAAGTCAAGCAAGGCTCGAAGGCGCAGGGCAGTATCAGCCAGCACCACCTGCAGCGGGGTGACACCCTGTGGACACAAGGGTCAGGGCTGAGGGTGACATCCTGGGGACACAGAGGTCAGGGCTGAGGGTGACAACCTAGGGAAGTCTGGAAGACAATGGGGGACAGAAGTGACGGTGGCATGGCAGGGGGCATAAGGGAAAAGGTTTCTCTGGGACATGACCTCAGGACATGGGGGTCATGACAAGTCTATCAGAGGGATGCAAGGGTCCTGGTAGGGCAGTGGCAGGTACTCAGGCACAAAGCAGGGACAAGGGGAACACATGGAGGGCTACGGGAAGCTGTGGGAGTTCTACAGGAGCGATTATAGTCAATGAGACAGCTATAGACGGTTTACAGGATGTATAGCAAACTGAACAGAGGGGTCAGAGGAGCTATAGGGGATTACAGGAGGAGCTATAGAGGCTATGGAAGGACACAGAGAAGAGTTGCAGAGGGGGACCTGGGAGACTATAGAATCTATAGGAGACCATGGAGGGGAAGGTAGAGGACTTATAGGGGGACTATAAGAACCATAGAAGCTATAAGGTGTTGTGGAGCTTCTGAAGAGCTGAAGGAGAATGTGGGCTGGAAAGATTACCAGAAACTAAATATAGGACCTCTGGGATGGCTGCTGGTGAGCTACAGATGCTCCAGGAATCATGAAAACCTAGAAGAGCTATACAAGCTAAGGGGGATCACATCAAACTGCAAACTACAGATGCTATATAAGACTAAGCTAGTGTATACTGTCACACACTGAAAAAGCTACAGGAGGCTGTGGATAACCCACAGGGAGGTACAGGGAGCTGTAGGCACCCTGAAACCCATAGGTAGAGGTGCTGGAAGTCTTTGCAGGGTGGCAGGGAAAGGATAGCTGAGGTTATAGGGGGCTATAGGAGCAATGTAGGATGGCTATGCGTACCTGCTGGAGCTCCTCACCGGGGTACAGGGGAAAGGGCTCCTGGGTGAGGCGGACATCAAGGTCAGCATGCCGCAGCTGGGCCTGCCCCGCACCATCGAACAGCACAGCTCCCGTTGGGCCCCGCGCCACAGGATTGAGCACCACGCAGTAGTGCCGGGGGGGAACTATCACCATGCGCTTGGGGGAAAAGACCACCCTGCAGGTGCCCCCGCACATCTGCCATCAGCTCTGTAGGACTGTTGGAGCTCCACAGCACACCTCACATACTCCACAACCCCACAGACCTCCCATGGAACTCTAAGGCCTTATGGAACACAACCAGATAGAAGAGGCCTCCATGATCATACAGAATTCCTATAACTGTACAGAGCCCCCCACGGACCTACAGAGCCCATCACGGCCCTAGATGTGGGACTGGGTCTCTCCAGCCCACTGCTTGAACCCCAGGCAGGTACCTCTCATGGTCCTGCCGGATGTAGGAGTGAGGTCCAACCTCCACACGAGTGACGTTGCTGTTGAGGTCCAGCACGTGGATGTAGTGGTAGGGGGGTATGCGGATCACAGGGTCCTCCATGGGGAAGAAGACTTCCTCACAGTGGAGCAGGAGACCTTGCTGGAACGTGCTGTGGAGCAGAACAGCTCGATGAGGCTCAGTGTAGGTGGTAGACCTTGAAACAGGGTAGAAGAATTGTCACGAGGCACCTTGAAATGCGTGAGGGGAAACCTCCAAAGGAGTGGCAGGACCTGCTGTGGGGCAGAAGAGCTTTGTGCCAGGCAAATGAGGGAGAAGGAGACCTCACCTGGAGCAGAGGACCTCACCGCGGGGCACAACACCCGGCTGTGGGGCAGGAGGACGCGGAAATGACTATTTTTAACTTTTTCTTTTCTACTTCCCTTTGGCCTGGCCCAGCCCTGCTGGCAGACGGGGCCCGGCCCATGGGGGCCGCCCCAGGGCCGGGTTTCCACACCCGAAATGCCGCGCCCCGGGCAAGGTTCGCCCTCAGGAAGGATTTATGCCGCGTTGTAGGGCTGCAGGTAACGGGTTAGGATCAGGATGAGAATTATGCGGCTGACTGAGCCCGAACGGCGCTGGCAGCCCCCAGGCAGGCCCTGCGCTGTCTCTAGGCAGCCGGCGCCGCCATGACGTCCGCTTCCCCGGAAGGGGGGGAGGAAGAAAGGGGGCGCGGGCGTTCCCGCTGCTTCCGCCTTCCGCCGCAGAGCGTGTTCCCATTGGCTGTAAGGGCGGGAGGGAGGCGGGGCCGAGGGAGGGAGGGAGGATGAGGGAGGATGAGGGAGGGGCGGGGGGGAAGCGGTGGGAAGGGTGGCGTTAGAGGGGCAGCGAGAAAGGGTCAGAGGCAGCTGGGGGCTGCAGAGGACACCTAGTGCTGCCCCGAGGTACTGTCGCTCCCTGGTGTCACCAGCGCCGCTCCCTGGGGGTCTGTGTCAACCCAGGTTTCACCCAGTGTCACCCACTGCCGCCTCCTGAGGGGCTTTCACTCCAGGGGTCACCTTAGGGGCTGTGTCATCCCTGCTGTCACCGCTGCCACCCTCTGAGTGGGTTTTGTCATCCCTGCTGTCACGCAGTGCCACCTCCACACCTCAGTGCTGCGTTCAATCCGAGTGAATGTCACAGAATCTTGGAGTAACGGAGTTACTGCAGGGATAACAGGAGACACGTGGACGTGGGGATGAAGAGACTCTTGGACCCCTTTGTCCTTCCCATTGCGCCTCCTGTTGCTCCTTCCTTCCTAATTCCTTTCCTCGTTTCTTTGGTCCCTTCTTTGTTCCTTTCCAATTTCTTTGCTATTCTTTGCTTGCTCCTTGCCCGACCCTTTCTCTGTCCTTTTTCCCATCCCTTTCTCATTTCCTTTCCCACCCCTTGTCCATTCCTTCCTTGTTCCTTGTGCACTTCTTTACTATTCCTTGCTTCTTCCTTTCCCATTCATTTTTTTTCTTTTTTCTCCCCCACACTTCACCCCTCTTTTCCATTTTTTTGCACTTCCCTTACCCATCTCTTTGCCTTCTTTTGCCCCTGGCAGTGTCCCTGGGCTCCAACCTGAAGGAGCACGTTGTCATTGACGCACTGTGGTCATCCTGAACTGGTGCTTCAAGCAGAGACTGCTCAACATGAGGAGGATCTGCATGTTCATGCTGGACAAGGCTGGACCTCATGATTGACATGCAGGACTTCTGCTCCCAGAGCATCCACATCCAGAGATGGATCACAGAAACCTGCTTTTGGCACAGGAAAATGCAAAAGGGGGGAGTTAGAAGGTAAGTTTTTTTTATAATGGGCTCACTTTATCCAAAATATAAAATTTTCCATTAAAGACTCGCTTTATCCATTATTAAAATGTAAGAGTTTCACACAAAAGTGCCAAAGAGCTGCTAGTGCTAATGAGTCCTCAATACTAATGAGTTCTGAGGGCTAACAGGTCGTCAGTACTATTCAATCCCAATTGCTATGTAGCTCCTCTTTTTAATGAATCCTTAGTGCTAATGAGCTGCTAGGGCAAACAAGTTTTTCTCCTGCCCCAGGGCTCTCCTAAAAGACTGACAGATGCTGCTTTTCTCTGCCACCTTCTGTAAAATGTGTGGAAGTTCACCTTGCAGATCATCTCCAGATCCATCATCATCAAGCTGCGGCAGGAGAAGCTTGCCCTGACCAACACCAGGCTACTGCTTTGTCTGCAGGAACTGGGAGCAGAAGTATGCAGCCCTCTGCAACCTCTATGGCAGCATTTCCAGGCCTTAATGTTCTGCCAGGTACAGCTCATTGGTAAGCAGTGAGCTGCCAGTGATCCATCTGACATGATCAAGCCCAGTGTGATGTCAAGTCTACTTCAATGATCGCCAAAAACGAGGGAACAAGGTGCAAGGCATGGATGAGAAACACACAGTGAGAATTAAAAGCTCAGAGTTAAGTTAGAGGAACAATAGTAGGGATTTGGAGAAGTTAAAGGAACATAGATTGAGACCAACAGTTGCAGAGCTGCTGGAGAAGCTTAGCTGCCTTCTTTCACCCATGCAGACCTGCTGGAGGGCAGACTGACTCAGTGAAGATGATTCTAGATGGGCACTGAGTGATCCTTCATTCATTCTCTACACTTCTGTCTCCCTTTTTTCCAAACCATCTGTTAGGAAAAGTTCTGCTGAGAATGAACTTTTATGCATGTAGAGAAAGGAATAAAAAAAAAAAATAATCTCAAGGAATCCATACCTAGTGACGCACAGAGAAGCGTGGAAGATTCAAAGTCTTGGCCTGAGAAAATTATTTGGTCAGCAATATAAAAAATGGAGAGAGCAGACAGTCAAGACCAGAAATGTAGATTTGCCAGTAATCAAGCCAGATGCTTAAGATTTTGATGGTATATTTGTGGTGACAGGGAAGAGTGTGTTAAGTGGTGCACATTAGATAAGCTAGGCATCACTTGGAAACCTGTGTGCCTGGAGCACTTAGTGTCATGCCCAGGGTGCTGCCAGGGTAGAGGTGCTGTCCACAGGAAGAAATGAGCAAGACGTATGGAAGGACGGGGAGCCACATTTTAACCTTGAGTTGATGGCTAGATAGGAAGGATCTTGGAGCACTAACTTGGTCTAGGGGAGAGAAACCAGAAGTGTAACTGGATGTGAGTTCTCCTCTTTTGCTGTTGTCTTGTCTGCCCACCTCAGCTTGGGCAGAGCCATGGAAGCCCTCAGTCTTGTTCTCCCAAGGGATTCTGTTCGATGCTGGAACTATGAAAGTAGGTTTATGCTCCCACCCCAGGGAGCTGGGTAACTTCCCAGTTCTGAGGCACGCGGGTGGGAGAGGGCAGGCCACTGCCTCTGCCCCTTTCTGTCTCTGCTTAATGGCAGCATTTCTTCTTCTTCCTGTCAAGACTTTGCTCAAGAAGTTGTCTCGCTCCAATTTATAGGAGGGAGAGGAGGTTCTTTTATTGTCTATCTACCCGGTGTGAGATTAAGAAACAACAGTTCAAATGTTGGTCCGACCAGTTTATTACAAATCTTAATTAGGGAAATGGGGAAGGGCAGGACGGACACTATTATGAATTAGAGTAATGGGGAAGGGGAGGAGGGTGATAGAAAAGATAGGAAAGAAGAAAAGAAGAAGCAAGGAGTCTTTATAGGAAGCAAGAGGGAGATAATCACCACCATGGATCCAGCGTGGTTCGTAATTCAGTCATTGATCTTCAGTAGGGTGGGTGGTCAGGCAGAGTTGTTCTGTTGACAACGATGACGACAACGACCGTGGCAATGATGGCCCCTTTTAAATGGTTTCAAAGCGGCCGAGTCAGCTGTCTTTGGAGTGACAGCTCAAATCCACAGTGGTTGAGTCAGCTCTCCTTTGAGTGGCAGCTTCTGGCTCTGGGATCTCAGCAGAAACTCCTTTGTTCTTCCAGGCCTTGCCAGCAGATAAGAGGGAGCAGGGATGCCCATCTGCATCCTGTTTTTCATGGGACACAATGGTATCATTCCCCAATTTTCCCATACCTAGCTGGAGCTGTTTAGTCACAGGCCAGATCTTCCGCCAGTGAACACTCATGAGCAGTCTCTTCCAGAGGCAAGCAGCTCTGGAGGAAGGGGCTTGCAAATGTTCCCAAAGCGATATCCATTGTCACACGGTTGGCACCCATCACTTGCCTCCTCAACAAATCGATCAGAGTTTTATCACACAAAATACCTCAGGAAGCAAGCTTTGAGCCAAAAAAAAAAAAAAACAAAAAAAAAAAAACAAAAAAAAAAAAAAGAAGGATTCTCGCAGAAGTACATTGTAGTTGTAAGGAATTACAGATTTTATTTTAAACAGTCAGTCTTGGGGTGTGGAGCCTTGAAAGACATGTCTCAGATATCAGTGTTGCAGAAACACAGGCCGTATCCTTGCCTCCAGCCATGACACTTGGGAAACCCTCACTGGAAGCCAGTCGGAGCTGACTTACATGCGCTTGCTAATTCAGAGGGAAAAATGGTTTTATGTTTGAAGTGGGTTTCAGTTATTTCTCAGGCTTTTGCTTTGATGCTCATCTGATGCTTTCGAAAGTTAATTTGGTTATTTATTAACGAGGCTGTCTTACTGCAAGCAAAGACCTCATGGAGCTCAATATGTATCTCGTTCCACAAATTTTTATTAGAAAAAATGAATACTACAACTTTGCTAGGATTTTAGCAGTATGTAAATCTTCCATGATAAACTAGCTTTAGCTACAGAAATTACAGGGACCAAAGCTTATTTCTGCTGGTTCATTTATAATTTACACCAATGTCATACGTTGCCCATGGTAATAAATTCCATTCATGATGCAGTTATAGTTTCAGTTTTGATGATAAAACAGAAGTGTCCGCGGTGGTCTGTTGCAGTGGAGTGTTCTCAAGGCTGGGATTGCTGTTCTCTGTACACTGCCTTCCTTCTCTGTGTGCTCACTAGTGAGTTTCTAACCTTAAATATATTACTAAAAATGTTGAAAGCATTCTTGCCCTTAAAGTGAGCAAGGTAGCAAGCTGAGGAGCAGACTTGGGGTCGCATTTTCATTGCAGTAATGGTTTCAAGGCTCTTGCTTGCTTCTATCAATACTGTAAAATAAAAATCTTTTGCAAGAGAAAAACTTCGGTGCATTTTTTTTCTCTTTGTTATTTCTGAAATGCTGGCTACCACACTTGAAGTGGAACAATATGAGTAAGTGACAAATACACAAAGGTTTTTCTGGGGAGAGCAAGGTCCGATGTGGAGGCTTGAACTATTAAATCAGCCAGTTGAATGAAGTTCCCATTACTTCATTCTACATTGCAGAGTTCTCCATTAGCCACATAAAGAACACTGGAACTATAAAGTAAAAATGCTATGCTGCTCTCTGCAGAAAAAATGGCCTGTAGAAATAATGGACAGTGAGGGGAGGGGTGGGAGGAACTCAGAAGAGCTCTGTGCAGACAGTAGCGTAGAGGTTTTGCTGAACTGCTTACATGAAATGATGTTTCAGGCTCGATCATAACTGTGCAGTCAAAGTAGTCACATGCCACACAAAACTTTCCTCCAAAGTCTCAGAAGATAGTTTGATGCTACATTGTGATGGCCAAGTGCAGGTTCAAGAAGTGAAAAGTCTCACAGTAGCTTTCTCACCTTCAGTTGCTTTGTAGCATGAATTGATTTTGCATGGTTTGTTAGATTTACCGTGGTTGTTGGCATCGAGGAGTAAGTGCAGCTGTTCTGCTGAAACACCTGCAGCCTGTTCACTGCATTATCCATGCGTATGACGGGGAGGTCAGCACCAGAATGACAATCTTGTCTCATTTCCATAAGAACTTTATCTAACTTATTTTTTCTTTTTTCTGGGCTCAGATTTACAGAAGTGCAGGAAAACAGACTTTTGGTTCTCTTTATTTTTGTCCAAATTAATTTCCAAAGGAAACGCTGCATTTGTGAAAACGAGGAGTAAGCATGGAAGCTATGGGTAAGTTTTCCTGAAACACCACATCAGTTTTGCAAGTCTGAGCAAGGTGTATTCCAAAATGTCTAACTGAAATCTTCCCATTTGGCACAGCTGTTCACAATTTGGTCACAGCTCCTATGTTTGTACTTCCCAAGGGCGTCTCTCCTCACCCCTCACTTGTTTGAGTAGAAGCCCAAGCTTTTTGTTTATTGATTGGAGAAGTGTACCAACCAGAGCAACTCCTGCACACCAGTCTCTTCCAGAGAAGCATCCGATTTGAGGAAGGATAACTGCGAGAAGTTCAGAATTATCATTTCAAAGAAATGAATCTCAGAACTTGCTCACAGCTGTTCTTAGTTCCTGTTGATGGCAATCAGAGCTAAGTTTTATTTTGTCATTAATATATCATTATAATGCTCTCCTGTTGTTTTTTTTTTTAATAATTTATTTTCTGATTTTGGGAAGAAACTAATGTTCCTGAAATGTTCCTGAAAAACTTTATAGGGTATTGCATATTATGCCTTGTCTCAACCTTGGTTATTTTCTAAGTCTCAGTCCCAAAAGTATCTCAGTCAGAAGAAAACTGACTTGGTTGTGTAAGGTTGTTAGTGACTGAGACCTCTGCAGACTGACCTCCTCTCTCCTGCATCTGCAAATCTTGGCTCTTTCCCTAATCCCTGAATCTGCTCCACAAAGCCCTGCTGCAAATTCTCACCCTGCACACTGTCTCAGCTCAGCTAATGGTGGTGTTTCCCTCTATTGGGAACATCCCGGTTCTTCCCCAACTCTCCCCACCTCCTACCCTCTTCCCAACCCAGCTCAGCCCAGCAGCCCAGTGGCAGTGCCCACCGCTGGGTATGCAATGCCACCACGGCCCAGAAGCTCTGAAGGCACAGCAGCTGTTAGGCTGGGGCTGTGGCCTGGGGAAACAGAGGTCAGTGAAGCTCCAGGCCCAGAAGACCCCCAGCACAGACTGCCTGTGCCAGTGCCATCCTCTTCTCAGCCTAGCACAAGAGTCCTGGCCCAGCACAGCCTGCCCCCAGCAAATGCCTGCAGAAATAGCTTTCTCTTTCTCACCTGTCCCTCTCTGAAGGCACAGAAATGCTCTCTTGCTCTTCTCCAGAGCCATCCCTGCTCCTGGAGAGCCTTGTCCAGGGCAGCTTGTCCATGCTGGCCTGGCTGGCTGCTCCTGGTTCCCTCCCCGTGTTCCCCACAAGGCCTTGATCTGGTGGTACTACTCTGCAGTGATGGATCTGTGGTGACCCTGCCCAGGTTATGCTGCTCAGGGTGGGCAGCAGACACAGATGGATGGAGATCTCTGCTGCCTCTTGCCATCTAATCTAATCTAATCTAATCTAATCTTGCATCTAGTGCTAAAGGCTCTGCAGCCAAGGACAGTGCTTGGCAGGAGCATGGGGTGCCTCTAATGTCACAAAGGGCACTTGAGTGCTGAACCAGATCTGACCCACAGGGCTTCAAAAAGTCTGTACTGAATCACGCTCCAGATAAGTCAACAAATATTTGTTGTCTGCTTGAACAAGTGCCACTGAGAAGGGAGCCCTGGGTCACTAGCAGATCACTGTGGGACTGTAAGCCTGTGTTCTTCAGCCCATGGAGAGCCCCAGACAACAAAAGAGCAGAGAGCAGCTCCTTGTGTGCATTGCTGACACCAGCTTTGAAAGAGGCCTGGATTCTGGCTCTGCCCTGAGCAGGCCTTTAGTTAGGTATGCTACTGTAGAGACAGCAGGACTGCTATCAAGTAAATTGAGAACTGAAGACTAACAGGAATGGAGAGGCACAATAGGAGAGCAAGGAAGTGGAGTGAGAGCAGTGCTCAAAAGACCACATTCAGCTGCTGCTCATGGCCATGGTTTCAGGAAAGCAATAGCCCCAACTCAAAGGCAGCAGAGAGAAAGAGCCCAGCCAGCATTGAGGGGCAGACCACAGGTGCACCAGGTCTGCTGCTCCATGTGGCAGATGGTTTCCTGGCTCCTTGAAACTCTCCCACATATGCGGGTTGCTCAAGAGGACAAGGGAGACATGGGAGCTGAGACAAAAGAATTTCTGCTGGCTTCTTCATTGTGTTCATCTGCACAGGAAGCCTGGTTCTGCAGGTACACAAGAGCATAGAATTATAGAATCATAGGATGTTTAGGGTTAGAAGAGACCTTAAAGGTAGTGTAGCTCAAACTACATCAGGTTACCCAGGGCCCCATCCAACCTGACCCCGAACTTCTCCAGGGGTGGGACATCCAGGCCTCTGGTTGTTTTTGTAGAGAGGGACAATCATCTCCCTCGTCCTGCTGGTCACCCCTCTGTTGATGCAGCCCACATGAGTTGGCCTTCAGGGCTACAAGCACACACTGCTGGCTCACATCCAGCTTTTCATCCACCAGAACTCTGGCAGACAGAAGTCCTTCTCAGTAGGGTTGCTCTCAGTGAAATCTCTCCATCTGCACATATCTCTACGTTTGCCCCAACCCAAGGCAACACATTGCATTTGAACTTTTTGAACTTTGTTAGGACCACAGAGTCCCAGTTTTCAA